ATCTAGGTGTTCTTGTGTTGGGTGCATATATATTTAGGCCAGTCAGGTCTTCTTGTTAAATTGAATCCTTTACCATTATGTAATGCCCTTGTCTCCTTTGATCTTTGTTGGTTTACATTTGTTTTGTCAAAAACTAGGATTGCGACCCTTGTTTTTTTTTTTTTCCTGTTTTCCATTTGCTTGGTAGATTTTTCTCCTCATTTTGAACCTATGTGTTTCATTGCATGTGAGATGGATCTCTTGAAGACAGCATATCAGAGGATCTTGGTTCTTTATCCAGTTTGTCACTCTGTGCCTTTTAATTGGGGTAGTTAGCTCATTCACGTTTTACGTTAATATTGATATGTGTGGATTTAATCCTGTTATCATGATGCTGTCTGGTTATTTTGCACACTTGTTTATGTGGTTGCTTTGTAGTGTCACTAGTCTGTGTACTTCAGTGTGTTTTTGTAATGGCTGCTAAAAGTCTTTCCTCTTCATAGTTAGTGTTTCCTTCGGAAGCTCTTATAAGGCAAGTCTAGTGGTAACAAAGTCCCTCAGCATTTGCTTGTCTGAAAAAGATCTTATTTCTTCTTTGCTATGAAGCTCAGTTTGGCCAGATATGAAATTCCAGGTTGGAAGTTATTTTAAGAATGTTGACTATTGGTTGCTGATCTCTTCTGGCTTGTAGTGTTTTAGCCAAGAGGTCTGTTGTTAGTCTGATGGGCTTTGTCTTGCAGGTGTCCTGGCCTTTCTCTCCAGCTTCTTTTAATATTTTTTCTTTCATTTCAACCTTGGAGAATCTGATGATATGAGTCTTGGAGATAATCTTCTCATGAAGTACCTTACTGGGTTCTCTAGATTTCCGGAATTTGCATGTTGCCCTCTCTAGTGAGGATGGGGAAGTTCTCATGGATGATATTCTGAAATATGTTTTCCAAGTTGGTTCCATTCTTCCCATCTCTTTCGGGTATACCAATAAGTTGTAGATTTGGTCTATTTACATAATCCCATATTTCTCAGAGGTTTTGTTCATTCTTTTTCATTATTTTTTCTCTACTCTTGTCTGGCTGTCCTATTTCAGAAGGCTAGTCTTCATGCTCTGAGATTCTTGCCTCCACTTGGTCTATTCTGCCATTAATACTTGCATTATGAAATTCTTGTAGTGTGTTTTTCAGGTCTATCAGGTCAGTTACATTCTTCTCCATACTAGCTATTTTGTTTGTCAGCTCCTGCAATGTTTTATCATAATTTTTAGCTTCCTTGCATCGGGTTTCAATATACTCCTGTAGCTCAATGACTTATAACTATTTACATTCTGAATTCTACTTCTATCATTTCAGCCATCTCAGCCTCAGCCCAATTCCAAACCCTTGCTGAAGAGATGATGAGATCATTTGGAGGAAAGAAGGCACTCTGGCTTTTTCAGTTTTCGGCATTCTTGTGCTGATTCTTTCTCATCTGTGAGGGCTTATGTACCTTTAATCTTTGAGGTTGCTGACCTGTGGATGGGTCTTTTCTTCTTTTACCCTATCTGATGACTTTGAGGGTTTGATTGTGGTGTATGGTGTATTCAGCCAACTGGCTTAATTTCTGGAAGTTTTAGGGGGCCTTTGCTCAGCCCCTAACTCCTGGACTGTGTTCTAACTCTGAGGGACTTGTGTTGGGTCCCAACTTTGTTTTCTGGCTCCTCAAGGTTTGGAATCCACTCTGCTTGGGGGTGGGCTGAGGTGCAGCAGCTTTAGCAGAGTGCTAGTGGATATGGGGGTGCCTGTCTCCCTGGAGGCATTTACCACAGTGGAGGAGGCAAGGCAGCTGTGGGCCATGTGTGCTGTTGCACTGGAGGTATTGTTGGCTTGGGGCAGGGTACTGGCTGGCACAGGTCTGGGTGCCTTCTCTGTGCCCTGCAAACAGGAGGGATAGCTCAGGGTGTGGGAGGATCCTCTGTTCTCTACACAATGTTAGCACAAGGACAGGGTACTGGCAGTGGTGGGGCTTGCTGGCTTGGTACCCACCAAGGCTGTCTACAGTGGTGGTCAGGGGAGGGTTGGGGGTGCTGCACACCTGTATGCTGGTGAGGTAACTAAAGCAAAACCTGCCCATGCAGACATGCACTAACAAAGTGATGTGGGGAGTAACCATGGGCTCAGGGGAAGTTCCAGTATGGGGAGAGAGAACATGTGGACTGTGCATGGCCATAGGGGCCACCTTGCTGGTGCTCCGTAGCAAGCTCTCCATGGTCCGCCAGCACAGAAACTATGTTTTTGGCCCCCAGGGCACCCAAGACTTCCCTGTAAGCATGCGTGGTCAGGCTGGGGCCCTGGGAGTGGCCAACAGACCAAGGAGTGCTCAGGTCAGATCAGCTCCATCTGATGTGTAAGACCATTCTGCAGAGATCAGGTCCAATAGTTCCCCTAGGGATAAAGTCTCTTATGGGAGCAATTTGAGCCTAGAGGGATGGCCGTTCCTGGCCATGCTCTACTACAAACACTCCCACAGCAAACCACCTGGGCTCCACATCAGCTGGCTGGCTGCCCCACCACTTTGCATATCTTCTGGGATAAGAGAGATGTGGGTCAGCAATAGCTCAGTGCAATCAGCACAGGATGGAAGATCTGTGTCATGGACCCAAGCCAGGGGTTACCTGTCTGATGATGAGCAGTGGGGTTGTGTGGGACCCAGGGGAGCTGAACCCACAGACATCACTTTGTTGGTGCACATCACTTTGCACATCACTTTGTTGGTGCATGTCTGCATGGGCAGGTTTTGGACATGTGGATAATGCACTTTAGGGTCTTTGCTTCTTTGTTAGTCCAAGGGTAGCAAGAACAGTTCCACCACAGAGGCAATGTCAGAGAAGCTTTCAGTTGTCCTTAGAAGCTCTGTTTGGAGAGTTTCTGAGTTGCTACTGGCTTGATAGCTCTGGTGGAGAGTGGCTAGAGGCCCAGGCCTGGAGGACCTACCTCTTGAAGAGATACGTGAACAGGGACCCACATAACAGTCTGGCTGCTTTTCTGTAGGGCTGCTGTAGTATGCAGGGAGTCCTCTCCAGCCCCTAGTCCCCCCAGATTTTCCAGTACCTGGAGGTATCACCAGTGAAGGCTGTGAAACAGCAAAGATGGCAGCCTGTTCCTCTCTCTGGTTGCTCCATCTTAGGAGGTTCAGATCTGATGCCGTCCTGAACGCATCTGTAGAAGAAGGTGGCTGGAGACCCCAGTTGGGAAGTCTCACCCATTGAGGAGAAATGGGGTTGGGGATCTGCTTAAAAAAGAAGTCTGACCACATTTTCATAGAGCTGCTGTGCTGTGCTGGGTACCACTTCCACCTCTGGTTGGCTTGGACTCTCCAAAGCCCGAAGGCTGGAATGGCTAAGTCACCCAAACAGCAAAGGTGGCAGCTTGCCCCTCTCCCTCTGGGAGCTTCATCCCAGGGGTTTTTCAGAACTCCGTTGGCTGGAGAACACTGGAGGGGTGACTAGAGACCCCAAGTTGGGAGACCCTGTCTAGAGAGGAGGAATAGGATCAGGGACCCACTTTAAAAGCAGTCTGGCCATGTTTTCATAGAGTAGCTGTGCTGTGCTGGAGGAATCCCTTCTGCCTCTGGACAGCTTGGACTCTCCAAGGCTGGAATGGCTGAGTCACCCAAACAGAAAGATGGCAGCCCACCCCTCCCCCCAGGAGCTCCTTCTTAGGGAGGTGCAATACCACTACTGGTGACTGGCTGGAATTCCAAGCTAGTGGGACTTATCCTGCAGGGTGCGGTGGAAGTAGGGCCTGCAGATTGTTGCTGCTCTGCCCCCTGGATTCAAGCTATTTCCTAGGGGTGCAGAGGTCTAACGTCCTGCTTTGCCACAGTTGCAGCTGCTTTTGCCAGGAAGCCCAGAAAGCCCAAGTATCTAAGGTTCCCGGGTCTCCATGAATGCCTGAGTGTCTGCACCGCTGAGATTCCATGTAGCTCCATGTGTCAGACTAAAGGCTCTGGTGGAGGGGGTTCACAAGGGGATCTCCTGACCTGAGGGTTGCAAAGATCCATGGGAGAAGCATGGATTCCCCGAGGATGTACATTCAGTCACTGCTTCCCTGGGTTGGGGAAGTTCACTTGGCTTCATGTCGCTCCCTGGTGGGCCATCATCCTTTCTCGTTTTTCTCCATGGCCCTGAATGGCATGGGAACTGCAGATGGTTCCCTATGCATCCAAGAAGTTCCTGGAAGTCACCAAAAGGGCTGGGTTCAAAGGATCCCACAGTCAGAAATGAGGGGCTCAGACAATAAATATGTCTCTAGAGATATTAGTGTGGAAGGATAATGGCTGAGACCAGATGCCTGCTTCCACCAGTATCCTGACCCAGTGAAGCCCACCTTCCTCCAATTCCCCGACATGAGAGGAGACCTACCCAAACTGATGAAATTAAGTTTCCACTGCCTGGCAAAATAAGGCCTCAATTAAAAATTAAGTGAATTGTAGAGAATACGGAGAAACTGTCTCGCACGTTTTGGTTTGTAAATGGAAATATAATTATAATACAGATCTGTCTATACCTACATGCCAGATACAGAGGTCCATTTCTCTGTATGTTGTATGCTCTGATCTATATGGTATACATAATTAATTTTTCTTTGTCTAGTTGAATGGTAAGTGCCATTCAAGTAGGTATATCTGTAAAGGAACGTTTTGGCTAAAATACAAGAAAACATGGGCTGGGTGTGGTGGCTAATGCCTATAATCCCAGAACTTTGGGAAGCCGAGGTGGGCTGATTGCTTGAGTCCAGAAGTTTGAGACCAGCCTGTACCACATGGGGAAAAGCCATCTCTACAAAAAACACAAAAATTAGCTGGGTGTGGTGGTGCATGCCTGTGGTCCCAGCTACTGGGGAGGCTGCGGCAGGAGAATTACTTAGGCCCAGGAGATGGAGGCTGCAGTGAGCCAAGATCATGCCACTGCATTCCAGCCAGGGCGATAGAGTGAGACCCCACCTAAAACACAAACAAAAAACCATAAAAAATGTGACCCCAGAAACGTAAAGATCTTGAGGTCTTTATTTTTCACATGGCAGTAGGTTTGGCAGTGGGCAGTTGCTGACTGCTCAGTGATGTCAGGGACAGAGTCTTGATTGTTTTCTTCACGTCTCAGTTATTTCCTCTTGTGGTTGCTCCAATGCTCCATCCATCATACCTGCATTCAAGGCAAAGAGAGAAAGGGCTGGCTAAAGCTGTACCTGTTTCCCCTTATGAGGAAAGTCACAGCTTTCCCAGGAGTCTCCCAGCAGACTTTTCTTTATGTCTCATTGGCAAGTACTCAGCACCCTGCACACCTCAAGAGGTAATTGAGATTAAGGTGAAAAATGAATATAGTTAAAAGTGCCCTGAATAGTCCCTTCGGATTTTGTTGTGTTGGAGGCTAGACTGCTGGAAGCCACACTTCTTTTAGAAGCCTACATTGTCATTTCTACCACAACATTGGAAGAGATCTTTCTTTCAGCAGGTGAAATAGCTAGTATTAGGGGTTGTAGCATTTAAATGGTAGGATCTTTAAACAAAGGGATCACATTTAATTCAGGAAGATACTGTTAACTCTGAGAGAAACATGGAACCCCCATCCCAAGCTCATTAAATAAACCTGGTGGGTAGAAATGGCTTCAGTATTTGCACAGTTGTCCATGTGCTATGAAGCATGTGATGTAGAGGAGTGGTTAAGAGTCTGTCCACTGGAGTCCAACACGATGGTTCATGCCTGTAATCCCAGCATTTTGGGAGGCCGAGGCAGGTGGATCACGAGGTCCGGGGATCGAGTCCATCCTGGCCAACATGGTGAAGCCTTGTCTCTACTGAAAATACAAAAAATTACCTAGGCATGGTGGTACATGCCTGTAATCCCAGTTACTCAGGAGACTGAGGCAGGAGAATCACTTGAACCAGATAGTCGGAGGTGGCAGTGAGCCAAGATTGTGCCACTGCACTCCAGCCTGGAGACAGAGCGAGACTCCATCTCAAAAAACAAAAACAAAAACAAAAAACAAAGAGTCTGTCCACTGGAAACAGATTCCTGGATTTGAAAGCCTGCTCCATCACTGACTAGCTTGTGCTGTGACCTTAGGTAACTTACTGAACCTCTCTGTGGCTCAGTGTCCCATCTGTGAGATGAGCATAATAATGCAACCAACCTCATAGAGGTTATTGTGAAAAATACATGCGTTAATAAAGGTAAAGCCCATGTGTCTGAGTCATGCTAAATGCTATAGAACATTTAGGTATTATTAATATTGTTCTTGTTATTCCACAGTTGCATATACTCCTGTTCAGTATGCACAAGATGCTACTCTAGAGTGAATTCATAAATCAGCTATAACATTTAAAAAGTATTTTACCCACTACCTGATTAATATTCAACCAACAGGTGTTATTAACACTGCCACTTTAGTATCTTTGAACCATAATGATCACGTCTCATGTGAAGGAATGCAGAAACGCACCACAGGTGGGGAGGAAGTACTGGATATTTAAAGGAAAATGAAATTCAATCCTTAATAATGGAAATATTAATCACAAGTGGATCTGTGTAAATATTAAGCTGAAATAGTTGGACTACAAGTTTTACAAGTGAGTTCTCTGAGGCTTTCATAGGTGTCTTTAAACAAATTTGGGAAATCTAGAGGTCAAGTTAAATCAATTTCTGCTGTCTTGTTTTTCTCCTGCTGCATTTATAAGAACCTTGAAGTTAATTTGCTTTGTAAATCTCTCTGAAAGTGTATATAGAATGAAGTACTATACAAACTTGTTTGATGACAGAATCTTTTTTTTCAATTGCTGTGAGCCTCCTGCAGGTCTCCTGTTCTGTCAAGTGCTAGATGCCTCTGAGGTCCCCCATTCATTCAATTCTAAAATCTCCTCTATAACTAATGAAGGTCAGCAGGTGGAGGGTGCTTCTAATATATATAGTTCAAAAAGTCCTGAATGGTGCTTTGTAAATATCCATGCTGGGGCTGGAGCTGTTGTTTTTATATTTGCCTGCACCTTGCCATCACCTAAGGAGATTTAAAAAGTACTGATGCTCAGGTTGCATCCTCAGAGATTCTGATTTAATTGTTCTGAGTGCCACCTGAGCATTTGATTTTCAATATGATTTCTAATGTGCAGCCAGAGTTGAGAATGGGCTAAAGAATCTTTGGCTGGGACAGGTGATAACCAGGATCAGAAATGCAAAGGACCACAGAATTTGGGAGGGGAAATAAGAGGGAAAGACAGAAAGAGGAGACGTGAGGTGAGGATGATGATTAAAACCTAACCATGGTGTGGGAGTAAGCTGTGTGAGAGAAGAGATGAGGCTGACTGAGGAGATGGAGGATCATGTGTGGCAGACATGAAGAATTGATCATGGTGCAATTTTATGATGAGGCTGGACACAGCCTCAGCATGCTTCTCAGCGCAGAGCACCAAACAGCTATTGCCAAGTGATCACAGTTAGGACTCAGCTCCCATCCCCGTCCTAGGCTGTATGTATGCTCAGAGTGGTGTGGGTGGCAGGACTGTGGTAGGCAACAAGGTACCATTTATTTATTTATTCAACCATCCCAATATGAAAAAGATAAAACCTACACCTTCCACTGTAATAGACATTTGGGAATGCAACAGTGAGTAAAACAAGCATGGTCCCTACACATTAAATAAACCACTAATCAAACATAAATAAACATAAAAATACAAATTGTAGTGAATGCTACTGAGAGTTTAGGAAGTTAATAATTAACATGTTCCACTTCCCCTTATCTTAACTTAGAAACAGCAGAGACAGGCATAGGAGTCAAGGAGATGGAGGTAAAAATATCAGCTTCATTACTAATAATAAGACTATGGGGCCAGGCTCAGTGGCTCAGGCCTATAATCCCAGCACTTTGGGACCCCATCTCTACTAAACCCCATCTCTACTAAAAATACAAAAATTAGCTGGGTGTGGTGGCAGATGCTTATAATCTCAGCTACTCTGGAGGCTGAGGCAGGAGAGACACTTGAAGCTGGGAAGTGGAGGTTGCAGTGAGCCAATATCGTGCCATTGCACTCCAGCCTGGGAAAGAGTGAAATTCCATCTTGAGAAAAAAAAAAAAGAATATGGCTTAGGCCTGATCAACTGGGCTTGTTAATGTGCCACTGCTGAATTGTGCTTATCACCCCTTTCTGCACAATCCTAGGACACAGAAACTGATCTGTCCCTTCAGTCTATTTCGCAGGTGTAGAAGAGTCCCAACCAGCAATTTCTTCAAGTGGGGAGGGCTAGGCCACACATGGCCAGTTCCTTTCCCCAAACCCACCAATAAGAGAAGTGGTTTCTCCTCTGCTAGGGGCAAGGCCAGAGGGGCGGAGTGTTATACCAGTGGAGGGCCCCCTATGTGGAAACACAGGGAAACGGGAATATGTGATCCACTCTCCTCCACAAGGGCTATACCAGGAAAGTAAAGGGCACAATGAGGGATTATAGAAAAGTACTTTTGAGGATCTAGATGTAGGAAGGCTGCTTTGAGTAAGACACATAAAATGAGCCCTAAGCAATTTGGCTCCAGAATCCAACTCATTTGGGGAGACTAGATCATGCAGTGTTTGATGTTAAGAAGTTGAGTTTTTTCCTAAGAGCAATGGCACAATTTTGAAGAATTTAAGCAGGGGAGTGAAGTAATCAGCTTTGCATTTTCAAACAGCTATTGAGCTTGTATAGAGGAAGAATTGCCAGAATTAGAAAAAAATATGTATATAATATATACTTAAATTTATATATTATTATATATAAATCTATAATAAAAATATATTTATAAATATATATAATAAAATACTGGACACTCAGTTAAACTTGAATTTAAGATAAATATTAAGGTTTCATATATATATATATATATAAAACCTGTCCATTGTTTACCTTAAATTCAAGTTTAACTGAGTGTCCAGTATTTTATTTGGCAACCCTAGAGGAGAAGAAACAGAAAAACCAACTAAGATATTGTCACAGATATTGGTGATAGAGAAGATGGCTTGCAGTGAGTTCCCGTTCTATTAGGAAGTAGACTTTTGGAGATGGATTGATGTGGTAGGTGAGAGAGAAAACCTGGGGTCAAGGGCCATGCACTAAATGAAAATGAAATTAGTTTTAACACTTCATTCTGCTGCTCTCCTCTTATAAAGTCATGCACCCTATGTAGCTATGCTCATGACAGCAGCTGTTTATTAGCTGATACCTATATAATGCAGTATTAAAACTAATACCAAGGGAAAGGGCCTTGTGTGCTGCCAAAAAAAAAAAAGTAGCAAATAAACCATAGTCGTGGAATTGCTGTGCCTAATACAACATGGTTCGTGACTGAGAAAATTATCAAAGACCTTTGGAATCAGAAGACAATGTAAACTAGTACACAAATGGGAGGAATGCAGTTCTGGTCTTCTCACTGTGTCCCTTAACTTTTTGATTACATAAATTTTATTAGGCTGGGCGCGGTGGCTCACGCCTGTAATCCCAGCACTTTGGGAGGCCGAGGCGGGTGGATCACGAGGTCAAGAGATCGAGACCGTCCTGGTCAACATGGTGAAACCCTGTCTCTACTAAAAATACAAAAATTAGCTGGGATTACAGGCCGAAGCTACTGTGCCCAGCTTCTTGCTATTTTCAGCCTGCCACTGAATTTTCTGAATCTGTAAGCTAGGCCACCTCTAGCATATGGTTTCAAGTCTCCAGTCCTGGAGCAAATTATATTGTGAGTATTTTCTTACCTTCTCCTTTTCTACCTCCCAAACATACACATTAAGGGCAGCCTTGAGAAGGTGATGTCACAAAAGGTGTGAGTGTGTGAGGAAGAAAGGAGCTTGGTTGCTAGGAAACCGGGGAGCCAGTACAGCCAAACAGCCACTAGGTGCTTAGGGATTGTGTGGGTTGTGCTGACTGCATGTATGTGAGTACCTGGGGCCTTTCTCTTATAGTGCCAGCTAGAAATCTGCCACATCAAGTCCTCTAGTCTGACATCAGATGTAAAAAGATGCTGCATAATGTAATGACTAGTGAGGCTTTCCATTGTGGTGGTCCCCCCTTGTTCACAGGGAATACATTTCAACACTCCCTATGGATGCCTGTAACCAAAGGTAGTATCGAATTTAATATATATATATTTTTTTCTGTACATATATGTCTATGATACAGTTTAATTTATAAATTAGGCATGGTAAGAGGTTAACAACAATAACTAGTAATAAAATAGAACAATTAAAACAAAATACTATAATAAAAGTTATGTGAATGTGCTTTCTCTCTCTTTCAAAATATCTTACTGCAGTGTACTCATCTGTTTTCAGACTGCTATTGAACATGGGTAACTGGAACCACAGAAAGCAAAACCACACAAATAAGAGGGGACTACTATATGAAAGATGGAACCCAACTCCAGAAAAGAGAATTTGTTATATATAGTAACCGGAAAGTCTAGGGGTGGACACTGCTTCAGATAGCACTGGATTCAGTAACGTGAATGTCATTGACTCATTCTTTGTCATATCTATTTTTCTCTGTGCAGTAGTCTCATTCTTACCTATTTTATTTCATTGTTTTATGATCGGGATCCCAATAGGCATTAAGGAAGTGATAGTCTGCTACAGAGCTCTGGGCTCCTATGTTTCCAGGAACCATCTCCAAGTAAAGAAAGAGCTTTTCTTTCCTTAGATGTGTATGTTAAATCCCAGAGAAGGGATCTGATTACTCCAGTTGGGTCACAGGCTCTCCTATTGCACTAATTGCTATGGCCAGAGTAGCAGGGTACTCTGATTTGCAGCCCCATTAAGAACTGCATGGAATAGGGGAGGCAATTCTCTGAAGGAAAATCGGATGTGTTAGAATAAGATGAAAGGATAAACTGGACAGGTCAAAACAGCAGATATCCACGGAAGTACTTGAAAAGACATCTACAAGGTTTGCTCTTTTATTCATGTGTAACTTTAATCAAAATTACATATGAAGGATGCCCACTGATGCACTGTTTTTAATAAAAAAAAACGGAAACAATCCCAGTGTGCATTCATAGAGAGCAGTCGATTATTTTAAATTCATAAAGTATAAGGCTAAATATCAATTTAAAAATTAGATTTGTATTTACTGACACAAATGTGGCCTGGATATACATTAAGGGGAAAAAACAAGTTGTAAAGCAGTGTTTAAATTTTTTGTAAAAGTGTTATTTCTCTGAATATTGCCCCAAATTGTTAAGAGTGGCTTTCTGGTAGGAAGTTGCTATTGGATTCCCTTTTGGTGGGTTGTAAACTCCTAAAATGTTAATGAGCAAATATTAATTTTGTAGTTAAACCAATATAGATTAAATTTTTAAAATTCATTATAAATATTTAAATATAATAGTATGAATATGATCTCCCATTTTCTAGGTTGTTTTTCACTTTCTTGATAGTGTCTACATTTTGTTTATCTCTTGATCAGTTGATAGACATTTGGGTTCTTTTCATCTTTTGCCTATTGTGAATACTGCTTGTGTGAACATTGGTATACAAAGAGAATAAAATACCTAAGAATATAACTGACAAGGGACATGAAGGACCTCTTCAAGGAGAACTACAAATCACTGCTCAAGGAAATAAGAGAGGACACAAACAAATGGAAAAACATTCCATGCTCATGGATAGGAGAAATTTATATCATGAAAATGGCCATACTGCCCAAAGTAATTTATAGATTCAATGCTATTCATATCAAGCTACCACTGACTTTCCTTGCAGAATTAGAAAAAACGACTTTAAATGTCATATGGGACCAAAAAAGAGCCCATATAGCTAAGACAGCCCTAAGCAAAAAGAACAAAACTGAAGGCATCAGGCTACCTGACTTTAAACTATACTACAAGGCTACCATAACAAAAAAAGCATGATACTGGTACCAAGACAGATGTATAGACCAATGGAACAGAATACCACACATCTAGAACCATCTGATCGTCAACAAGCCTGCCAAAAACAAGCAACAGAGGAAAAGATTCTTTTTGTAATAAACAGTGTTTGGAAAACTGGCTAGCCATATGCAGAAAATAGAAATGGAACTCCTTCCTTACACCTTATACAGAAATTAACTCAAGATGGATTAAAGACGTAAATATAATACCTAAAACATAAAAATCCTAGAAGAAAACCTAGGCAATACCATTCAGGACATAGGCATGGGCAAGGACTTCAGGACTAAAACACCAAAAGCAATTGCAATAAAAGCCAGTATTGATAAATGGGACCTAATTAAACTAAAGATCTTCTGCTCCAGCAAAAGAGACTATAACCAGAGTGAACAGGCAGCCTAAAGAATGGGAGAAAATGTTTGCAGTCTATCCACCTGATAAAGGTCTAATATTCAGAATCTACAAGGAACTTAAACAAATTTACAAGAAAGAAAGCAACCCCACTGAAAAGTGGGTAAAGGATATGAACAGATGCTTCTCAAAAGAGGACATTTATGTGGCCAATAAACATACAACAAAAAGCTCATCATCACTGATGATTAGAGAAATGCAAATCAAAACAACAGTGAAATACCATTTCACACAAGTTAGAATGGTGATCATTAAAAAGCAAGAGATGCTGGCAAGGATGTGGAGAAATAGGAATGCTTTTACACCATTGGTGGGAGTGAAAATTAGTTCAACCACTGTGGAAGTCAGTGTGGTGATTCCTCAAGGATCTAGAATCAGAAATACCATTTGACCTGCAATCCCATTACTGGGCAAATACACACAAAGAATTATAAATCATTCTACTACAAAGACACATAACACATGTATTTTTATTGCAGCACTATTTATAATAGCAAAGACTTGGAACCAACCCAAATGCCCATGAATGATGGACTGGATAAAGAAAATGTGGTACATATACACCGTAGAATACAATGCAGCCATAAGAAAAGATGAATTCATGTCCTTCTCAGGGACATGGATGAAGCTGGAAACATCATTCTCAGCAAACTGACACAGGAACAGAAAACCAAACGTCGCATGTTCTCACTCATAAGTGGGTGTTGAGCAATAAGAACACACGAACACAGGGAGGGGAACATCACACACCAGGGCCTGTTGGGTGGTGGGGAGCAAGGCAAGGGATAGCATTAGGACAAATGTATGTGGGGCTTAAAACCTAGAAGATGGGTTGATGAGTACAGCAAACCATCATGGCACATGTACACCTATGTAACAAACCTGCACATTCTACACATGTATCCCAGAATTTAAAGTAAAATAAAAAAAAAAAAGAAATGGAATTTCTGGATTATATGGTAATTCAATCTTTTATTTTTTGAGGAACTAGCACTTTTTCCATAGTCACTGCACAATAGTTTTACATTCCCACCAGCAATGCACAAGGGCCCCAGTTTCTCCACATTCTTGTCAACACTTATTTTCTGTTTTTTTAAATGATAGCCATCCTGGTGGAAGTAAAGTGGTATTTTATTGTGGTTTCAATTTGCACTTCCCTGAGGAGTAGTGATGTTGAGTACCTTTTTGTGTGCTTTACTGACCATTTATATAATTTCTTTGGATAAATATCTATTCACATTTTTGAGAGGAACAACATTTTAACTCAGGCTTACTCTTAAGCTCTATAACTTTTCACACCAGCACCCTGTATGTTAATTTTAAGACAAACATAGGTTGCCTTTTAGAAAATTTTGGTATGATAAATAAGTTTCTCTAGGCTCTGCATTCTTATTATCATCTTATTCTATGCTAGGAACAAATGGAACAAGAAATTGCGCTCACACAAGGACCCAAGTGCAGTGGAAACTTTATGGGGCTGATTGTTCTTCAGTTCAGGGAGTTCTTCGAGACCAGGCCCAACTACAACCATTCTCGGCTTCCTGGATGCCTAGCTCCCCTGAAATTCTCATACGGTTGACCTTGAAACTTACCTCCTACCTTATGTTTGACCCATTAAGATTTATTAATCTGACTCTAGGTATTTTCCTCACTTTCACAGAGGCAGAAATTCATCAGATCTGATTAGTGGGAAGTATTCTTGGACTCTAAATATCATACTGCAGCCAGGAGTTTTGAACTCCTGTGTCCAGCACGGGACCCTGGAAGGCTGCTTGCACACATAAAGTATGATTCAAATGGTTGGAGTGGTGGGTGGTGGATGGGATGGATTACTTAGACAGGGCGGCTGTAGACTTTACCATGAGATGGCACCCAGAGATTGCTTTGTTTTGATTTTTCACAAACATTTGTGGAAAAAAAAATTGTAATTTTTATGCTCCTTTTCTGTAATTCATATCATGTACTTTGGGCAGATTTTGGGGGCTTCTAACAATTGTAATATTCTTTTTCTTTGAATTATTAGGTCTTTGAGGATGGCAGATGGCCAACATAGAAGACACTTGTCTCTTCTTGGGTCCTTTGCTTTGACACAATGATTATGCTTCAACCCCACTGTGGCCTCTTACTCATTTGGGGAGAAAAATTGAGCAGAAATGTCACTTCGACTTGGACTAGTCAACTACCCAGCATTTGTGGCTCAGTGTTCTTTCTCTTGCCATATCTGTTCTTATTACAGCATTAAGCTCAAATATGAAAGATATTTCCAAAGCATCTCCAAATTTCCTTTAATAAATTACTCAAGGGCCAGGCACGGTGGCTCAAGCCTGTAATCCCAGCACTTTGGGAGGCCAAGGCGGGTGGATCACCAGGTCAAGAGATCGAGACCATCCTGGTCAACGTGGTGAAACCCCGTCTCTATTAAAAATACAAAAAATTAGCTGGGCATGGTGGCATATGCTTGTAATCCCAGCTGCTCAGGAGGCTGAGGCAGGAGAATTGCCTGAACCCAGGAGTCGGAGGTTGCGGTGAGCCGAGATCGCGCCATTGCACTCCAGCCTGGGTAACAAGAGCAAAACTCCGTCTCAAAACAAAAAAAAAAAAAACCAACAATAAATTACTCAATTTTTTAAGTGCTTCTTCAATGTTGTGTTATTTTTAGCAAATATATCCTCTTGGGTTTTTTTATGCATGTTAACAATATGCTTTGAAAAGAAAGATAAAAATTCCTTGCTTAATAAGCATTACATTTGTATTTCCAAGATTGCCTCTTGGAAGAATTTTTACCCATATTTGCAATTTTCTTCAATAATAGGGAAACAGTACTTGAACTCCTCAGCTCATCTCAATGTGGGTACACTTTATAAAAAAAGATGTATGGTGCCCAGCATAAGCTATTGGATGTTTCCTTTTTCACTTTGTGAAAACCTGTATGGCAGTCATTGAGCTTTTCCAAATAATAGCTCCAGCTAGGGTCCCTACCTGCAGAGCCAGCGTCAATGCCGACATGAGGAAAAGCCAGCCTTCATGTGATTCCGCCCCCAGCCTTCAGGCCATCCAGGTGATGACAAGAGGCAGAATTGAGGTGTTTCCACTGAGCCTAGCCTTAACTGTAGATTTATGAGCTAAACAGTGATCGTTGTTGTTATAAGCCACGAAGTTCTGGATACTTTGCTACACAACAATAAACAACCAATGAAATGACACGTACGACTTCTGCTCCCTGTCCATTGTCTGTGACTATGGCCCTGGCTAATTGCAGGAGTCTGAGAAGTACATATTTCTGAGTGCTTCGGAAGGAGAGGACAACCTGACATTGGTGAGCATTAGTAATGTGTGCAACGGTGACTTGGTTTTCAATTATTCAGAACATTTTCTTCTTCTTATAAAGACAATACATGCTCACAATGGAAAATTTGGAAAATATAACATGGTATAAGGAAGAAAGTGCAAATCACCCAAATGCCACTGTCCAGAGTTGATGATCACTGCTTCCTGTCACATTCCTCTCTTTACATTTAAAAAACAAAATTGGAATCATTCACTTTTAAATTTTCACTTTTTTTACATTAAAAGCACATATATGTTTCTGACATTAAACATTTATTTTGTGGTAAAATATGTATAATAGCCAGGTGCAGTGGTTCATGCCTGTAGTCTCAGCTATTCAGGAGGCTGAGGTGAGACAATCACTTGAGCCCAAGGTTCAAGGCCAGCCTGGGCAACATTACTGGGACTCATGTGTTTCTTTCTTTTCTTTTCTTTTCTTCTTTTTGATTTCAGACAGGCTCTCACTCTGTCCCCACAGCTGGAGTGCAGTGGCACAATCATAGCTCATTGCAACCCCAGACTCCTGGGCTCAAGTGATCCTTCCTCTTCAGCCTCCCCAGCCACTGGAATTACAGGTACACACCACCACATCTAGCTAATTTAAGAAATTTTTAGTAGAAATGAAGTCTTGCTATGTTGCCCAAGCTGGCCATTTTTTAAAAATAAACAAACAAACAAATAAATAAATAAATATTTTTTAAAAATGTACAACATAAGATTCATTATTTTAAAGTGTACAATTCAAAGCCATCTAATACATTCATAATGTCATATAACTATCATCACGATCTACTTCCAAAACATTTTCATCACGCCGAAATAAAATTCTGCATCCATTAAACCTTCATTCCCCAATATTTTCCCTTTTCTTTAGCAACCACAAAACTGATTTATGTCTCTATGGATTTGCCTACGGGAGGCATTTCATATAAATGAATTATACAATGCATGGCCTTTTTGTGACTAGATCCTTTCACTTAGCGTATGTTTTCAAGGGTTGTCTATGTCACAGCCTGTATTAGTACTTCGTCTTTAAGGCTGAATAATATTCCATTGTATGATTGTACCACATTTTGTTTATCCATTCATCATTTGGTGGACATTTGGTTGTTTCTACCTTTTGACTATTGTGGATTCTGCTGCTGTGAACATTTATGTGTAAGTTTTTGTCTGAACACCTGTTTTCAATTCTTTTAGGTATATAGCTAGGAGCAGAATTGTTGAATCATCTGGTAATTCTATGTTTAACTTATTGAAGAACTGCCTAATTGTTTTCTACAGTGACTCCACCATTTTACATTCCCACTAGCAGTGTGTAAGCTTTCTAGTTCCTTCGCATCCTTCGCATGTCCATTTTTTTGAATATAGTTATCTGGGGAGAGATGAAATGATAACTCATTGTGGCTTTTATTTGTATTTTCCTAACCACTAATGGCATTGAATGTCTTTCCATGTGTTTGTTGGCCATTTGCACATCTTCTTTAGAGAAATGTCTATTCAAGTCTTTTGACTTTTTTTAAATTGGGTGGTTTTGTTGTTGTTGAATTACAGAAATTCTTTACATCTTCTGGATAGTAAACCTTTACCAGATTTATGATTTGTAGATATTTTCTTCCATTCTATGGGTTGTCTTTTCACTATCTTAACAGTGTCCTTTGGTACACCAGAGTTTTAACTTTTATGAAGCCCAGCTTACCTATTTTTTCTTTTATTGCTTATCATTTGGTCTCATATCTGAGAAATCATCGTCAAATCTAAGGTCATGGAGATGTACAGCTAAGTTTTCTTCTAAGAGTTTTATAATTTTAACTGTTATATTTAGCTTTTCGATCCAGTTGCAGCTGATTCTTGTATATGGCATGAGGTAAGAGTCCAACTCCATTCCTTTGCATGTGGAAATCCAGTTGTCCCCAAACTATTTGTTGAAGAATGTTAAGCGCTTTCTGAAAACATGATTTGGGTGACTGCATATACTACATAGTGCATCACCATTTGCTTACTGATTCCTCCTTTGTTTTGTGGTGTTCTAGAGATGCAGATAATTTACTCCTTGACCACATCTCTCTTTAGAGAATATGTTCAGCTCATAGCTTCAGAAAAGACAACTCCTAGAGACATGGTAAATACTGATTTTAAACATGGTAGACACTTGGGCAAAGCTGGGCCCGTCAGATCTTTACTCTGGGAATATAGCACTGGGATACTGATGCTATGTCATCTAGATATGTAGGAAATAAGTTTAAAGGTAACATAAAGTCTGGGTTCATAAATTTTTTTGACTTTATGGTTCATAAAGTCTGGTTATTATAATAACTGAGGTTATTATAATAATTTTTGTGTTAAGAGGACAGAAGAACCAGCTATAAAACAGAAAAAAAAAGGACATAGACACATTTAAAATAGAAACTATGAGAAATGGAGAGATTTTCAGTTTGGTAAATTTCTAGTTCTCACAAATCCCATAAGAATCTCTGCTTCATTTACTTTCCCTAGTTTTCTGGAATTAATTTGGGTGAATGTCTGTTTCTTTACAAACAAACTTCCCCTGACTAAAACAGACCTTATATTGGCTAGAAATCTTTGTTGCAAAAGACAGAAAACCCAACTTTACTGGCTTAGGCCAAAGGACTCATACTGGCTCATATACCCCGAAGTCCAGGGTATAGCTTGATATAGGGACTAAAAAATGTCATCTAGACATGGTTCTCTACATCACTCAGTTCCACCTCTTGTGGTGTTCACTTAATTCCCAGTCTTAGGAGCTCTCGGATTCAGTCATTCTGGCCATGAACAGTCTAAAAAGAAAGAACACTTCCCTATAACTTCTGAACAAGTCTAGGATTCACTCTGATTGTGACCACATTGCATGAGTCACGGCCCATCCTTGGACTAACCCCAGGGGATCTTGTGCCAAGTCTCAGTCATGCGTTCACTCCTGGGTAGGGAAAAACCTCATTGGAACCACATTGAAAATGAGGAGGGAAGTTTTCACAAAGGAAATTCTGGATTTTGTTACAAAATAGAATTGATGATGAGTAGACAAAGAAACAACAGAGGACAATACAGGCACTTAGATACATTCTAATTTTTTTTAAATTATTGCCCATAATACTTACGTGCAGCCTTGTCCATAAATATTCGTTCACATCTCTTATCATGTCCATCATGTCTTTAGGATATTTTTAGCTCTGTTGCATTACAAATCACCCCAAACTTAGTGGCTTAAAACGAAGACAACGATTTATTTCTCACTATTCTGTGTGCTGTCTGGGTTCACCTGGGAAGTTCTGCTCCTTGTGGTATAGTTGGGGTTACTGATGGAGGTGCATTCAGCTGGAAGAGGGGCTGGGGGCTGCCCCATCCAAGATCATCTCTTCTCCTGGGCCTCTCTTCATGTGGCTTTTCATCATTCCAAAGTGTAGCCTGAGCTTATTTATAGTATGGTGACTGGCTTCCAGGATGGAGAGAATGGAAATTACCAGACAGTCCCCTTAAGACTTAGGCCTGGAAGTCCCAATGCATCACTTCTGCTTCACTCTGTCAATCAAGGCAAGTCACAGGGCCATCCCAGATTCAAAGGGAGAAGGATAAATATACGGCCAGAAACAGAAATGCTAGGTGAAAGACTATGTATAGCTTAAGGTTCATGATGCACATTGTGAAATTTGTTCCCTAGATAGGTTCTACCAATGTCCAAAAACCCACCCCCACCAGCAGTGTATAAGGTCGTGTGTTTCACCACACAAACGCTAACTCTTAGTAATTTTAAGGTTTAAAAATAACATGATTGTTATCTTATTAATATTCCAGGGGTTAAACTTTTTCATATACTTATTAGCCATTAAAATATTTTTAATGTCTGTGATATTAAATTATGATATGGCATACCAATGTGTGCCATTATCTAGTTTAATAAAAAGCATCTTAATGTGAAATGTTCTGTGGATTCCTCCCCAATTCCATTCCCTTCTCTGCCTCTCAAAGGTAACCATTATTATAAATTTTTGTTTATACTCCCATGCCCTTATTTTATTTCATCTCTTATAACAGCTTTTTTTGCAATATAATTCACATATCATGCAACAGACCGATTTAAAGTGTACAGTTATGTTTTTTTACATTACCAGAGTTGTACAAGCATAACCACAATAAAATTTAGAGCATTTTCATCATTCCCCTAAAGAAACCCTGTACTCGTTAGCAGTTACATTCATTCTCCCCTTTCCCCTAACTACCACCCTCGGCAATCACTAATTGATTTTATTTCTATTTAGATGTCCTATGTGGGGCATTTCATAGAAATAAAATTATAGAATATGCGGTCTTTTGTGTCTGGCTCCTTCACTTAACATGTTTTCAAGGGTCATCTATGTTGCAGGCTGTATCAATATGTCATTCCTTTTTATTGCTGAGTAATATTCCATTGTATGAATACATCACATTTTTTCATTTGTCTGTTGATGGACATTTAGATTGTTTACATTTTTTGCTACTATGAATAATGCTGTTATGAGCATTCATGTACAAATTTGTGTAGTCTTATATTTTCAGTTCTTTTGAAGTATTTCAATATCTGGGAGTGGAATTGCTGGGTTATATGGTAACTATATTTAAACTTTTGAGTAACTTTTTCAAAGTGTTTTCCACTTTGCCAGACTGTTTTCCAAAATGATGACAGAATTTTACATTTCCAGTAGAAGTATGAGGGTTCCAGTTTCTCTACATTCTCATCAACCCTTGGTATTATATGTCTCTTTTGATTACAGCCATCCTAGTGGGTATGAAGTGGTGACTCATTGTGGCTTTGATTTACATTTCCCTAATGACTTATGATACTGAGCATCTTTTCCTGTGCTTAATTTCCCTTCTTTTGTGATAGCTAAATCATATGTTTGCATTTTGAGATAATATGTTAATTAGTTTTACATGTTTTAATGTAATTTTAAAATTGACATAAAATTGTTGTACATATTTTAGGGTATGTGTGATATTTTGATACCTGCATGCAATGTGTAGTGATCAATACATGTTTTAAAATTTATATTAATGAAATTCTTTTGCAAATATGATTAACTTTGACATTTC